TGCAGGATGCAGCACTGCAAACTGGCTGCAGCTGCCTCAGTGCCAGTTCGATCCTCGGCCCTGGAGATGATCCACATGGCGAGGCACACCTCTCCTGCCCGCTGCTCCCCTCAGCAGTGTGCTTGTCCAGCTGCCTGTTCTGCTGTCTCTGGTGAATCCTTTCATTGCTCCTGCACCTCTGGCCTGTATCCCAGTTCTGTATGCATGAATAAATTTTTTTTTTATTTTAAATTAGGCAAAGCAGTGCTGGAGAAGATGGGGATCAGTAAGAATCTCACAAGAACTGGCCAGAGTATAAATTGGTGCAAACACTGCAGAAAACCATTCAGTGACATATTAAGTTGTTGGCTGTTTTATAAAGTTCAAGAACAAAGTGATATGTTACTTAGGTGTGAATGCTTAGTAGCACTGTTAAGGGTAAGGATGTCCTAAAGGAACTCTGCCCCTGCTCCAGTGATTGGAAACTACAACTCCCAGCAGCACCAGGAAGGGAACTGGGAGGACCCAGGGGTGGAGCTAAGCAGCATTCTGGGACTTTTGGGAGATAAAAAGGGGGCTATTTTGTCCATGGGTGTCTCTCTTGGGCAACAGGTTTGGGACCAGTGTGGCCAGGGGCTATTAGTTAGTTAGTTACCAGAGCTCCAAGTCAGCCCAGCTGGTAAGATATTCTAGTTACCTTGTATCTCTCTCTCCTCCCCTGGGTTGTTCCTTTTCCTTTCCCCTTTTGTAAATAAATCCTTGCTCACACTGGGGGCCCTGTAACAGTTTTTGGCAGCCAAGGTAGGGTGTGCCTAATTTACACCCGTGATTGACCAACCCAAGTACCTTGCGTTGGTCCCTAAGTGCATTAGGTCTGCAGCACACATGGCTTGTTTCAGGTCATGAGAACTTTTTTTTTTCTTTGTGTTCAGCTCTCACTGATGTTTACCAACATGACTTTGACCAGTTTTACCCCAGCTTAGGTTCTTTCAGTTTTATTCCAGCTTTAACTCAGTACCCTTCTCCCATTGAATATCATCACCAGTTCTATAAATATCAATAATCTGGTGAGACCCGATTTATGGCAAATGCTGTTGCTTTTGTTCTCTATGGGTGGCTTCCAAGCACATTCCTGCAGTCTGTGCTTCTGGGCATCTTGATACTTTGTATCAATATCAGTTTTTACATTTCCGCTCAGTGAGAGAAAGTGGAGGGAGCTCTGCTTCTTCTACTGCATTAAGTGCAACAAATTTGGGCTCTTACGGAAAACATGCAGCAGCAAATGCAAGCCCTTAATTCTGTGATAAACAGTATGAGAAATGAGAATCGGATTGCCCTTGACTGTATTTATCAAACTATGTAAACCCAGATACAAGAGGCCTTCCATAAATTAGATATGGCCCAGGAAGGGGTACAGAGAGAATGGCACAGAGAAGGGGTAATGAGCCTTTCCCTGAGGACTGCAGGAGGGCTGAGTTAGAAAAGGAGGCTAATTAATTGCTTAACACCTTCAAACCTTCAGGAAAGAATTGTTCTCTGCATAGCAAAGCCCCTCTGGAAACTCGTAAGGCTTCAGAGCCTCCATTGCCCTCTGGAGAAGGAACTCACATGCCTTCTCCTTTGTCGGAGACCAGCTCCAACTTTTGAGGTGTCTGGAGGCAACACAGGCAG